TTTATATTCGTATACGAACAAAAATAAATTTGTTAATTAAATTTGAATAAAAGCGCTTTTCATCCCCCTAAAAATATGGCGCCATCTGCATTTAAATACGGTGTTTAATGATATGATTTAAAGTTTTGATTGTAATAATGATTTTTAAAATTAAATTTATTTTTTAAATAAGCTTAATTTAAATTTTACTACAATTACGAATTATAAAAATAGTTTAAATTTATTATTATTTGTAAAATTTTTGTATCTTGTATTTACTCTTTATTTATTTATTTTACGCGATAATTTGCTTTTTACGTGAAATTTATATTTTAGAATATTTTTACAGCCAATTTATATAATTTATAATTTATGTTTATTATTATTATTATATTTATTACTATTATTGTTTATATCAAATCGAAAAATCCTCGAATCGCTACAATATCATAAATTAGTAATAAACATTTTTTTAAAAATCTATATATAATGCCGCCGATATATCGAGTTTTAGCTTAATTATTTTTAATATCGATCAAGCTTTCCCGATAAATAAAGAAGCTTGCAAGACGACGCTTGATACGACAACATTCATTACGATATAATAATTCAAACTTGTTCATTATGATTTATTAGTTTTTACATAAAAATTAATTTAAAAAATAATATTACTAAGAAAATATTTTAAAGGCTATTTACTTAAAAATAAAAAATATATATATTTAAAAATTATTTATTTTATGTACAATTGATTCGTTATGGCGCTAGTGTCGCAAATGTCGAAGAGGAAGGGATGAAGCTCATTCCATGTAGACAAATGAATAAATATTAAAAAAAAAAAAAAAAAGTGACTTGAGAGATTGCATTTGAAATATATCGAATCTTTCAGGTAATTATACGACGTAATGTCTTAATTTAGTAAGCTGTTAATGAATTTTGATTGATATTTTACGATATTTTTGATTTCACTTGTAAGCCTATTAGTAATGGTAAATTTACGAAGAATGATGCTCAAAGTGTGGGATTTTTAGAAGCAAATTTGATTTATAACGATAATTTTAGTGTTATTTGGTGACGAATAATACTATTATAACAAGGACAAACCACCATTTGCATGCTTTTGTTAATAGAAAAATGCTTTTATATAAGTTATTATGAAAGTTTGTTTTGTTATGATTTGTCATTGATCAAATGAATGCAGAAATTATCGTGGAGATTTTTATCTGTTATGCAAGACATGACGAAATGTTCAATAAAGCTTAAAACTGTTTTGAATTTTTTTCTTCGTTTACTAGCTTAGGTAAACTTGTGGCTGTGAATGAGGCAGTTCGGACCTGATCACAGCTTTAGACTACGGTTCCTTTGACTTAGTTTACTTCTATGGACATGATACGGCTCTTACTAGGTCCTGATCGCCTCTATCGCAGCTGCAATTGTACTGTATCTTATGCAGATACTTTTATCATTTTACATAATGTATATTCAGTCAAAAATATGATATTGTTTTGCTATATTTAATATGACTCATTTAGTTTGGTCATGTAATGCAGTCACAGTAGCTTGAAAAATCCCTTGTTAGTGGTAAGAGAAGACCTGGTCACCAGAGAATGTGCTGGCTTGATACTATCGAAATGGATACTGGAATGACCATTAGCCAGTTGAGGGTAGTACAGGATTGGGAACTGTGGAGGGAGTTTACCAAAACAGTCACTGAGAGCCATGAGTGACTGAATGAATAACAATAACAACAGCATATTTGTTATTAAATAATAATATAAAAATAAAGATGGAAGTTAGTTCTAAGTCAATATATATATATATATATATATACACACACACACACACACACACACACATACGTACACAGTTATGGCCAAGATTGGAAGCATTTTAACAATAAAATTATTAAAATTATTCAAATGAATCTAAAAAAAATGTTAATTGTTAAACAAAACTGAATTAAAAAGGAATTAAAAAATATCAAAATAAGAAAGGATAATATCTGCAGGTGATGATGTGTATGTATGTTACAATAATACAGTAATACTGTTTTGTTTTGTTTTCAAACTTTTGATCATGATTATATGTATTTATGTATGACTTACCTAAAGTAACTTCTTTCAAATTAAGATAGAGTATAAATATGTGATATAAGCAGGGCTGTGGATTTGGAGTTGTGGTGTTTTAGTCGAAGTTGTCAAAAAATCCTCCGACTCCCTTTTTAAGTACCAACTTGTTATGTATATGAAATGGAGTTGGAGTCGGATTGTAAGGAAAAGTAGGAGTTGGAGTCGGTAGATTTTTATGCGACTCCACAGCCCTGGATATAAGGGTTCAATTCATGTTCTGAATGAGATGTTTGGGACCTTATCAGAGCTATAGAACAAAAATGTCAAAGGAACAAGTGACCCTTCATGAGATACAGCCCCCCGAAATTGGGTCATGCGATATCGTGACTTGCGTCGCTCTGCTAAGACTATTGTGTTTAACTATTTAGCCCATGTGACTATGCCAGCTTCGAGTAGCTCACTTGACTGTTCATGGAGTACTTGATGTTATATAGTTTTAGGGGGATGTGGGGGCTCCCCCACTCAGGCGCTGACTATTCATTGCTCACTATCACTCGCACCAAGTGATATGGAGCATTGAAGTGCTTGACTACATGTGGCGAATCGGTCAAGGTGAGCAATAGTGAGCCTTGATGACACGGAGCAGGGAGAATAGGCAGTATACTGATACGTGTTAAAAACTGACCTTTGGAAGTGGATATCTTGCAAAGGGTTACATATACAGGTATGGTTCCTTTGACTTTTCTGCTCATTCAAGGGGGTAAAAAAAAACCCGTCATTCAGAGCTTGAATCGTACCAATATAAGATCCTGTTTTATTTTTAATATTTACACTGAACTTTCAAGCTAATTTACAAGTTTTACATTGAATAAGTAATTGCAAATAGATTTATCGTACAAGTTTAGATACAGAATTATTCTATAAAATATACATGTTATATGCTGATATTTTATATACTATATAAATTTAATATTAATAGATAATAAAAAGAAATGCTTCAGAAATCATTTTTTAAATGTACTTTATAAGCTTTAAGAAAATATTTTATGTAATGATTATTTACACCATATATCAGTTTTATCTTTTCAGTAAACATATTAGAAATGCATACAAGTTGTAAATAACAATTATTATTTGTTGTTTGTTTCTGTTTGCATCATGAATAATGTATAAAACAAGTAATATGTAATTGTCAATACAGACTGACTAGCACATTTCCATTCCTAATATCAGCTGCATATGTTAATTGCAATTAGCTATTCATTAAGAAGTAATAATCAAGCTCAAATTATATATATTAATTTATTATGAATGTTTGAATGGAATGCATTATTATGAATGTTTGAATGGAATGCATTTTATCATGTACTTTATTTTCAAAATTTTGATCTTAACTATTTTAAAATCTAATTTAATGATTAAATGCAAATTTTTATTACTACTAATAACTAATATTTTGTCATAAGGTGAGAAAATTCTATGTCTATTACTAGTAAAATTGTATATTAGAACAAATATTCATTACTTTTATGTGAATTATCTTTAGATATATGTTCTATTAGGATATAATTTATAAATACTAGAAAAATTTTAGTTCAATATAAATAGACTACCAGATAAAAAGATTTATAAAAATTTAATAAAATTTGTCTTTAATTGCAGAAGTATGCAATCATTCATCATGTTAGTTGGAATTGTTGTTATGACAAATTTTCATGTTAAATTATAATGCAAAGCAAATTAATAATTTGAAATTTAATGCTTTAACATAGTGTAATTTAAGCATACAGCATACTAACATCATGCCATTCTGATAAAATAATTGTTCATACAGTATAATTGTTTGTATGATAGTGCCTATTTTATCAGAATGTAAAACTACTAATTGCAAAAGATGATTTTAATTTACAGTTTTTCTAACACAATAAATTTTAGGTATTATTGAAATACTATAATAATAATGTTGTTGTTAACATGAAAAAACTTTGTAATCATTTACGTTGCTCTCTGTATAGAAATTTAAATTTACTATACATAATTCTTAAGCTTTCGTGTCTGTTGAAAGAAAAGATTAAGAAACACGTATGTGTTCTCAGTTTGAATTCCATTTGTCTTGATGTTTTGGCAAAATTTTAGTCAAATTTCAAACATTGAAGCATATAAAATATACTGAACTTTTAAATAATGAAACATCATATATACTAGATATCATAATATAGAAATTTGGATTAAATTCTCAGCAATTTAGAGAAATGAATTTATATTTTTCAGGCTATTTTAAAAAAGGTTGATTTATATTTTTGCTTTCATTTGTGTTTATGATGTTGGATAACTATACAATATTTAGTTTTATAAATATAAATTGACTGAGATATACATTCATGAGAAACATTTGCAAGTTACTATGAACAGCTGGAAAAATACATAATAAAAAAACTGTATTAAAGTTTATGGTGGAGTTGTCAAAATGTCAGTTTTGAAGCATTCATATCTCTAGAAATGCTAAGTACATAAATTCTCTTAAGAATGATATATTAATATATGATTGCAATATTGAACTTATCTGTCATATTTTTATGGCAGTCAGAAATGTTGTGATCTTGTTAAAGGCCATTATGCATTTTTTATTTTATAATTTCAGTATTTTAGATTTTAGGAAACTTGAGTTAACAACAGATTTTTGATAAAAATTCAATTAGACTTTCATGCTATATCTGAGATTCAGATATTATTTTATTATTATTAATTTTCTGAGAAAGTACTCTAGTATTAAAACCATACTAAAAATAGTTATTGATTAATTTCAAATGTAATAAGTTAATGCATTAATGCAATGATTTTTAGAGTAGATCTGAAGAATTTTAAAAATTACTTTAAAAAATAATTCAAAATTTAATAATAATTTATAAAAACTGAAATATTATTATTAGCTTAAATCACATCATTTTATATAATGTTAAATATATATAAATGTAAATTTAAAAAGAATAAACGACTTCCAACAACTTAACACTGTGTTTTCTAATAACAACCCACGCAAAAAACCTTTTTTCGAGTGTTATGTCACTATTAAATTCCACAAGTACTTTCGACCTCCACCGAGGTCTGCTTCCGGTGGTGACTGGCCGTGTTTCGACCCAACGGTCGTAACGATGTTGCCAACGATGTAAATAAATAAACGTGCGCGTCGGGTTTCACCCCTCCGACCGCTGTTGCTCGAACTCCTCGAATAAATACTTCCACGCCTGTGCAAGTGTTTCCCCATCCCTGTAGTTGATGCAGTTGCCCCCCATGATAGCTTTGTGAATCTCCCAGGTCTCCAGGTGACGGATGTGATCAGCGCGGAACGCGGGTCTGATAAGTTTGGTGTTCCGGAAGTCCGCCCTTATTTCAGGGTCGGTGACATAGGTCGATAAGGCAGTGGTGTGTCTTTTATGCTTAATATCAGCTTGGTGTTCCCGTATTCGTTTCTGTGTTGATCGGATGGTGGAGCCAATGTAAACTAAGTCTCTATTGAATCTGTCGTCCCGTACGGGAATGGAGTAAACACCTGGGGCCCTGNGACTTAGTTTACATTGGCTCCACCATCCGATCAACACAGAAACGAATACGGGAACACCAAGCTGATATTAAGCATAAAAGACACACCACTGCCTTATCGACCTATGTCACCGACCCTGAAATAAGGGCGGACTTCCGGAACACCAAACTTATCAGACCCGCGTTCCGCGCTGATCACATCCGTCACCTGGAGACCTGGGAGATTCACAAAGCTATCATGGGGGGCAACTGCATCAACTACAGGGATGGGGAAACACTT